AAAAAAGAAAAAGAAAAAAAAGGAATTTTCTATGTGTTTTGGAGCTTTTCATTTGCTGTGCATCTTCCTGGTGTTTAATGACCATCTTGTGTGTGGATGTCTGAATGTCTAATGATACCAGAGAAGTTTTCCTTATTAATTCCCTGGAATCAGTTTTCCTCACTTCTTCTTGTTCTTTTTTCTTCTCTCTGGGGGATAGCTGTAATTTGTATGTTAGTTTGCTTCACATAGTCCCATATGAGGGCCCATCTGATAAGGAGATAACAAGTAAGCTAAGACTTAAAGAAAGATTAAGAGTTAGCCAGATAAAGAAAGGTTTAGTCCAATAAGAAGGAAGAATTCTTTAAAAGGAGATAATTAAATCATATTTCCAGAAGAAGTTTTTTGAAGAAAGACATATTTTAACAGTCTGTTCTGAAATGGACATTTGTGATATCCTTATATAATGGAAAAGCCCAATGTGGGTTACATCTTGGGTATTTTAATACCAATACTTTTACACATCTTCCTGTGTGTTGATGATTACTTTTCGGTTTCTATCACTTAGATGTTTAATATAAGTTATTAGCTTTGGATGCAGTGAATGAGGAGGATAAGTGGCTAAAAATTGGCAAGAACCTGCTTTTTTATATACTTTAATGAGCCTGGATTCTGACAAGACCTGTCTACAGGTTCATTAGTCCTTCCTTTCTTGCTTCCATCCTTTCCTTCCTTTCCTCTTTTTTTTTTTGGTAGGTCTGGGCTGGGTTTGAACCCCCCAGCCCTGGTGCACAGGGCCAGTGCTCTAACCATTGAGCTACAGGTGCCCAAGGTGCCCCCCCTCCCCTTTTTGACAAGGTGTTATTTTGTTGTCTTGGCTGGAGTGCTGTGGTGTGATTATAGATTATAACTCCAACTCTGGGTTCAAGTAATCCTCCTGCCTCAATCTTCTAGGTAGCTAGGAATATAGGTATGCACCACCATGCCTAATTTTTAAATTTTTTGTAGAGATGGGTTATCACTATTTCTTTCTTTCTTTTTTTTTTTTTTTTTTTTAGACAGAGCCTCAAACTGTCCCCCTGGGTAGAGTGCCGTGGCATCAAACCTCACTGCAACCTCCAACTCCTGGGCTCAAGTGAGTCTCCTGCCTCAGCCTTCCAAGTAGCTGGGACCACAGGTGCCCGCCACAATGCCTGGTTGTTTTTTGGTTGCAGCCATCATTGTTGTTTGGCGGGCTGGGCTGGATTCGAACCCTCCACCTTAGGTGTATGTGGCTGGCGTGTTAGCCACTTGAGCCACAGGTGCCAAGCCCTCACTATTTCTTAGGCTAGTCTTAAACTTCTGGTGTCACTAAGTCCTCCTGCCTTGACCTCCCAAAGTGCTAGGATTATAAGCATGAGCCACTATGCCTGGCCTGTTTATGCTTTGTATTAAATTTTTCAGTTGAGTCATTATTTTCTTCATCTCTAGGATTTCTCTTTGATTCTCTTTAATGTTTCTTTTTCTCAAACTTCTTGCTTTGCATATTGTTTTCCAAATTTCATTAGATTTTATATTCATATATTCTTGTTCACTGATTTTTTTTTAATTGCTGGGGGTTCATTAAGGGACAAAGAACCAGGTTACATTGATTGCATTTGTTAGGTAAAGTCCCTCTTATAATTGTGTTCTGCCCTCAAAAGGTGTGTCACACACCATGACCCCCCTCCCTTTCCTTCCTTCCCTCTCTCTCCTCTTCCCTTCCCCCACCTTTCACTGTGTACTAGATCATTAATTGTCCTCATATTAGAATTGAGTACATAGGATTTTTGCTTTTCCATTCTTGTGATGCTTTACTAAGAATAATGTGTCTTCCAACAAAAGATGTAAAGTCTCCATCTTTTTTAATGGCTCAATAGTATTCCATGGTATATATATACCACAGCTTATTAACTCATTCCTGGGTTGGTGGGCATTTAGGCTGTTTCCACATTTTGGTGATTGTAAATTGAGCTGCGATAAACAGTCTAGTGCAAGTGTCCTTATGGTAAAAGGATTTTTTTTTTCTTCTGGGTAGATGCCCAGTAATGAAATTGCAGGATCAAATGGGAGGTCTAGTTTGAGTTCTTTGGGAAGATTATTCTGAATTGTCAGTCTTTTATAGACTTCCACTTCTTTAGGGTTCATTATTGTTGCTTTATGGACTCAATGTTATTCTTTTGGAAGTGTTATGACTCTGTGATTCTTTATAATCCTTATGTTTTTCCCTGGTTTTCTACGCATTTACAAGACAGCCCCTTCTTCTTTATAGTTGTTTTTGGCAGGGTTAGACCTTTATCATTAGTGTAGCTTATGATTCTAGAAAGATCAGCTGGTGATGGCCCTGGGCAGGCAGAGCTGTCATGAGTTCTCTAGTTGGCTGGGAAACTGCCTTTGTTCTGATGTCAGGTGTGGGAGATGACTGGCTGGGCTCTGCTATCAGGCAGGACTGTGATGGCATCTGGCCAGGCCAGTCATAGGTGTATTCTATGGATTGGCAATCTGCTATTTGGGATCTGTAGTTGGGCAGGGCTATATGCTGGGCTCCAAATTTAGGTGGAGTTGCCACTTATGACAGATGGGACCATAGGCTATGCTACTTAGAAAAGTGTGATTATTACCTCCCTGTCAGTGTGGAACTGTGGGTTGGGCTTTTGGTTGGGTCAAGCCACTGTTTGAATTACCTGGTCAAGCTGGTCTAATCCCTTTGCTTCTCTGAAATGGGTGGAGGTGGATGTTTCTCTGCCTGGGTAGTGGTATTGGATGGACACTGCGGCTGGGTCTGGAGTCTAGGCATCTAGGGATTTAAGCTATGTTGAATTTCCTACTGTGCTTGGGAAGGTAACCAGCTTTGCTTAGTGGTCAGGCTATGAAATTTGCTGTTATCTCCAATCAGGTGCCAGCTGTCCAGCTGTCAGGAACACAGAGGTACCACCAAGATCTGCATGCTGTCTCCTTTGATTTCCTGTGTCTCCTATGATTTCTGTCTCCTTTCTTTTGTTTCTACCTGGTTCTAGTGGTTGAGCCATGCCATTTTCTCCAGTGTTCCCCCTGAGCTGAGAAGGATTTCAAAACTGAAAAGGATTTCAAAATGCTAGAGAAGCCAGATGTCTGCGTTTGGGTCTCTTTTCCCCTGATAGAGACTATGAACCCAGAGAACTCCTCTTTGTCTGGTGTTGTGTTGATTTAGTGGAGGAGAGGGACAGTAATGGTCAAAGTGAGACCATTTTTCTTACTCTTCTAATTTGGTTTTGTTCAGTTTTCTGGACCACATAGATGTCTTAGTTTTATTGGCAAGTTTTGGAGTTTACAAAAAGATGTTCTTGTCTATGGATAGTTGCTTACTGAACTTCGTTTGTAGATCAATGGAGCCAGATATTTACTAATTCCTATTCTGCCATCTTGCTGAATGTCACTACCATAAATGGAAAACTAGTAGATTATAAGTGAGGATAAAATAAATAAATTGAAAACAAATTGCTATTAATAAAAATCTGGCTTAATACAATACAGATGCTTTTTGAGTTATGACAGGATCATGTCTTAATAAACTCATCGTAAGCCAAAAATATTTTAAATCAAAATGCATTTATACTCTACTAAACCCATTGTGAAGTTGAGAAATTGTATGTCAAACCATCATAAGTCAGGGATTGTATTGTCTGATGAAGGTGAGCCTAGGACTTATACTTTTTTTTTCTGTAAAAATTTGGCAAGTATTGAGGCTTATTAGCACATTGTAATGTTCTCCGCGATGTACTCAGAAGGATTGAAAGAAAATTTGAACAGGAATTTTTTTTTACACTATGTTTTAGTGTTGTATGTTTGTATGTATACACCAAATGTATCCCACTCATTGAGAAACACCTTGGGGATTAAGTTGAAATCCTTTTTATGGCATGTATATCCTCTTATGATCTCTCCCCTGCCTTACTCATCTGCTGCTTTTCTCCCTTGCATTTTGTACTTAGCAAATTGGGACTATCTAAGGTTGTTATGAAGATTAAATGAGTTTATACATATAAAGTACTTAGAAGTAAGTACTCAATGAGTATTAGCTGTTAGTATTATCACCACCATTATTACTATGTTTTTGTAATTAACATATATTTTGCCTGCTTGCAAATACTGTCACATATTCTTAGAATATCTTCTTTAACTTATCCATGCAGCTAATGACTATTTTTATTGGCAGTCTCAGCTGAAGTACTCTTCCTCTGGGAAGACTCTCCTGAATTCCCATAAACATCGCTTAAATATATTCCCATTATATCACCTAACACATTGTCTTTGGTTATATGAGTGGTTTCTACTAGTCTGTAACTTTTTTCATGACAGAGACTATTATCTTCTTGTCTTTTAGTCCCTAATGCCTAGTCTAGTATCTGGATTGTTGCATGAATTTTTGAATTCAGTATATATTTATTAAGGACCTATTTATGCCACACTTTATGCAGGTATTGCTGTCACAAAGCTGAGCAAGACATGCCCTCTGAGGTAGGAATTTGCTGGAAACATATATGATGTGCATTTAAAAAATTATTGTTAATTTTTTTATTTAAAAAAGCATCAGGTCTAAAGCGAGATTTGAACATACACTCTTATTTTACAAGGATCGCTCTCAAACCGTTAAGCTAGGAGACATACTTGAATTCCACATATTTTATCTCTTTTGGATAAGAGATTGTGAGGTTCCTAATGGCAAAGCCTATGTGTCTTAGTATCTTTCTTCCCCTGAGGTACTTGGCATTCGTTGTTTACTGAAGGTAAATACTTCCTAATAAGATTCTTACTTATTTGAAGTGGCATGGTGGCTATTAATTTTACTATTGCACAAATTTTAAAAATTGCTTAATATATTAACCTTGTAGCTATTCTAAAAAACTAGAATAATGGATGCTTATGGAAATTATAATTAACATGAGTGAAATGTGTAAATGTTAACAAGGTACACTGGCTTTACTTATGATATAGCTCTGCAATGAGTTTCTTCTTTCTTGTAGGCAATTTTGAAGGCCGGAGACACCAACAAGGATTCAGAATTGGACTTTGGAGAGTTTTTGCGTTACCTTCAAGACCATGAGAAAAAAATGAGACTGGCATTTAATAGTCTGGACAAAAATAAAGATGGTATGTATGTGTTTTTCTATCCAGAGTTAGTTAAACATGAATAATAACTGTCAGTAGTAAAGAGTACTTTTACTACCCTTTAATTTACTCCTATTATCAAAGATTCAGTTATTTCTACTAGTTGTCTAGCAGCAATTAAATAATTTTTGTAGAAGGCTCTGTCATAATTAATTTAAAGCTTCTTTGCTTAGTAAGAAGGCCTTTCTACTTTTTTCAATATAAATGTATGAGCTAAAACTTTTATAATTTAAAAATGACATTTTAAAAACTTTTTTTTATTAAATCATAGCTGTGTACATTAATGCAATCATGGGGTACAATGTGCTGGTTTTATATACAATTTGAAATATTTACATCAAACTGGTTAACATAGCCTTCACAGCATTTTCTTAGTTATTGTGTTAAGACATTTATATTCTACACCTAGTCAATTTCACATGTAC